AATTTTATTTGCAACTCAGGGCCCCAAAACCCCAAAACCCCAAAATCAAAATGAAAAGATTAATAACAATGTTCAGTCAAATTTTATTTAAATCTGTTAATATATTTTCACATTAATTGGAGATCAATCCTTTGATATTATTTTATAAATCAAAGTTTTTTCAAAAATTTATTGCATCTTTTTATTGAATTTTTCAAAGTCTATACATTGACCCTCCTCTGCTATCAGTGTGTCTCTTGCAGTTGACACAACAGCCTACTAATATAATCAAAGCAAATATCGAATAAAAGAAGATAATCTCAATAATCATCCACTTCTCAGTTTTAAAATGGATGCTTTGCATTATAAGATTGAAACAATCAGAAGTTCTGTCCTTAAAGTAGACTACCTATAAGAAAATGTAGACATATAATCCATAGCATTAATTGATTCTGAAAATGCATTTAACCTATCCACCACCATCTATGTTTTTTATTGTTAGGATTTCATGAATCAATGAAATCATTTCAATCGCATGATAGATTATTAATTAGATCATAGACACTCTGATTAGAACTCCTATGTCATCTGTTAGAGGATCATAATTGCATTAATCATAGTGATCGTTTTCATTCCCAAATATTACTGATGTGCAGATTAATGCAATACCAGTTATTACTAGAGATGTCACCTTGATAATGTAGAATCTTTTCAAGTTGCTCTGCCAATGAATATGTTCTTGATTTTACAAAACTACCTCCATCTAATTTTACTTTATAAATTAGAGTTTAAAATTACAAATTTAATAATTAAAATTATTCCAGATAATATCTTATGGAAGATTTTGGCAATAACCAAAGTGATTAGAAACACGAATACTCTATCAAGAAGGCGAAAGCTCTTGGTAAGCTTATTAAATCAGAGGTGGAAAAGCTTAGATAGCTAAAGAAAATCAAAAAGTCTCAGGAATAAGAAAAGAGAGAAGTTTTGAGAAGTCTAGAGAGCATTCTTGAGAATACTCTCGATATGATGAGCACAGAAGATGCCAGATATTTTCTGACAAGGAAAATTAATGAATTCTAGATCAAAATCAATACTAATCCAGCTAATGCAGACCTTCTTTCACATAATATTGTGACATCATTGGAAACTCCTTAACTCTCAGTAGAGGATCAAAAGACTGAGGATATCAAATCATAAGAAATACCAGAAGTATAAGTTGAAGGATAAACTTGGGAGAAAATAGGAGAAAACTTCTCAGATGTCTCAATGTCCTAAGATGGTTAAATATTTGCCATTGGTTCTCAGTCTATTGGCTATGGAGGCAATGCTATCTATCAATTTGTAAATGGAGGATGGGTCTAGATCCCAGGAGAAGCTGTAAAGATTTCAGCATATAAGCAAGGGGAAATTTGGTCTGTAAATACAAGCGGAAAAGTCTGGTAGAAGCAAAACGATTAATGGGTTGCAAGATCTGATATTGGCACTGCCGCTGATGTTGCAGTAGGAGATGATGGATCTGTCTGGATTACATGTGCCTAACAGACTAAAGACAAGGGCATTAACATTATGTATTACGACTTTTCAAGCTAGAAATTCATGAAAGTAAATGGATTCGGACAATAGATAGCAGTAACAAGAAATGGAGAACCTTTGATTGTCTTAGAGAATGGTGAGGTAATTTTGAGAAAAGGCAGAGAAATCCAAAAAATAAACATTTTCGCTACTAATGTAAGTATCACTAGACTGGATGAGCTCTGGGCTGTGAGTGCCAGCAAGGTTGATGGTGGATATCAGATCTACAAGGGACAACTTCAAGCTGAAATTACCTGGGAAGATATGCAAATTTCTGGGGTGAAGGTCTCAGCCTATGATAAAACTGCAATTATCGTTAATGAATGGGGAGAAGTTTACAGGTATAGAAATTGATTTTGATTTTAATCTTTAATCAGAAATGCTATGCAGCGGGGTTTTGGGGTTTTGGGGG